CGCCTGTGGTCCCAGCTACTTGGGAGGCAGAGGCAGGTGACTTGCTTGAGCCCAGGAGTTGGAGGTTGCTGTGAGCTGTGATGCCACAACACTCTACCCAGGGCGACAGCTTGAGGCTCTGTCTAAAAAAAAAAAAAAATTATTGCTATGAGAAGTTCATAGTGGAAAGTAGTAGAATGAGAGCTATGCTCCTTTTGCTTGATTTAAGTCTGTTTTATACTTATATTTGTGCCATAATTCTCCTGAAACTTTCTCTTTTTTATTTTATAAAACCCATAAAAATCCTTTTTCAAAATTTCAAACTATTAAGGGAGGTACAAATGTTTTTGTTATATAGATACCTCTTATAATGTTTAAGTCAGGGCTGATAGTGTGCCCATCACCCAAATAGTGTTCATTGTACCTGATAGGTAAGTTTTTACCCCTCCATCCCTTCTTTCCTTCCTTCTTTTCTTCCTTCCGCTATTGAGGGGATACAGTTTTTTTTTGGTTATGTGGATTGCTTTTGTAATGCTAGAGTCAGAGCTGTAAGTACCCATCATCCAGATAGTGTTCATTGTACCTGTTAGGCAAGATTTCACCCCTCCCCTCGCCTCTCCTATAATTTTTAGTTTCTTTGACACAAGATACCAAGTGTCAATGTAGTGATTTTGCCATTCTCTCTCTTTTTTTTTAAGCCGGGGCTGGGTTTGAACCCGCCACCTCCAGCATATGGGGCCAGTGCCCTACCCCTTTGAGCCACAGGTGCCGCCCCCATTCTTTTTTTTTCTCTTGAAAAATAGGCAAATTCCAGTTAAGAAAGGAATACATTTCTGCTGACTTTTTAAAGATGCAACATCCCTTGACTCTTGCTCTCCCAGAGTTCTTTTTTTAAAGCCAGAGACAGACTAAAGAGTTCCAAAGAGTTTAATTACCAGAAATGATAGAGAAATACAAACTGGTTATATGTTGTTTTTGTTTGCAAAGATAAAAGGCCTTTAACAGTCATGCTGTCTGTGTCTTTCCATAGGCCACTTCAGGAGGAGTCTCAGACAGAAGAGAGGTACATCTCTCAGGGGCAGGAGGACTTAAACAATGAGCGCTCTCCATTGAATTTTACCAATTCTAGTGAAGAACTTCTGCAGGCAGAGGTGACTCGTCTTGAAGGCAGGTAGATAATTACATATACATTTCAAAAACCTTTGAGTCTTTGGCTTGGTGCCTGTAGCTCAGTGGTTAGGCGTCAGCCATATACACCAGAGCCGGTGGGTTCGAATCCAGCCTGGGTCTGCCAAACAACAATGAGAACTAGAATCAAAAAATAGCTGGGTGTTGTGGCAGGCACCTGTAGTCCCAGGTACTTGGAAGGCTGAGGCAAGAGAATCGCTTAAGCCCAAGAGTTGGAGGTTGCTGTGAGCTGTCATACCATGGTACTCTATTGGGCAACATAGTGAAACTCTGTCTCAAAATAAACAAACAAAGCCTTTGGGGTGGCACCCGTGGCTCAGTGAGTAGGGCGCCAGCCCTATATACTGAGAGTGGTGGGTTCAAAACCCAGCCTCAGCCAAACTGCAAGAAAAAAAAAAGCCTTTGACTCTTTGATCATCATATTGATAAGTAAACTAATGAAATCTTAGTTAAAAAAAAAAAAAGGTTTTTTCTAGAATCTACAAATAAATAGCTTGACTTCTTATTTCATTGAGTTATAGGTGAACTTCTTAATCTACCACCGGATCTACCAGTCTGCTGCATCTGTACCCATAAGCTGTTGCCATGGATTTATGCTCCCAATATCAGCCCTTGGACTTGTGTCCTGTTTCTATAGTTATTTCTTTTATTTTCTATATCATCAAGTTCTTCCTCTCTGCTGAATCATTTCCACTGGTGTAAAATATGCTGTAATATCTCCCATTTTGGAGAAAAACTTAAAACCCTCTTTTAATCCTATAATCCCATCAAGTTACTCCCACATTACTCTTTCTCTAACCAAATTCATCAGAAGATTGTACTGTTGGTCTCTACTTCTTTGCCTTTTACCTGTTCAGAATGCCTTTCTGGGTTTTCCTCCTCACCCCCTCGCTGAAACTGTTCTTGGAGAGGTCGGAGTGGATACAGGGTGCTTTTTCTTTTTATTCTGCATTGGTTGTGTCATTTCCTTGACTGTTAATTGGATCTTGACTAACACTATACCATACTCAGCTAACTCATATCATTGTCATACTTAGAAACTGGTCTTTGTTCATCATACCTTTAAACTTTTTATTATTTTTGAGGGGAGTGGGGGATAGAGTAGAGTACAGTGATATCACAGCTCACAGCAACCTTAAACTCTTGGGCTTAAGCGATTCTCTTGCCTCAGCCTTCCAGGTAGCTGGGACTACAGGCGCCTGCCACAACACCTGACTGTTTTTTGTTGTGGTTGTCATTGCCGTTTGGCATCCCTATGCTGGGTTTGAAACCACCAGCTCTGTATGTGGCTGGCGCCTTAGCCGCTGAGCTACAGAGAGCCAGTAGGTTTCAGAATTGCTGTTTTGCTTTAAATATGTGATTATTTTTGTCATACAGTTTGGAATCTGTAAGTGCAACATGTAAACAGCTGAGTCATGAGCTAATGGAAAAATATGAAGAATTGAAGAAGATGGAAGGACATAACAATGAGTACAGAGCAGAGATCAAGAAGGTAAAAATTTGCATGCCTGGGATTGCAAAATTACATGTATTTATGGACTGAGCTATGGGTTGGGAGATTATAGGGGTCATTTTTAATGAGAGGAAAATGTATCAAAAGGACCATTTGATATTTAGGAGTGAAAGAGCAACTGGAATTGAAATCTGCCCCCCTTTGAACTCTGTATCTTTATTTTAAACATGTTTTGATGAAAAGCTCTCTGAAAGTATATATTTTTTTACTTGTAAAAGATATGAACTATTAATATTTTCTTGTCGACAAAAGATGGATATGATTATATATGCCTGTTTCCTTCTGTGCCATGGTATAGTTAAGATCCTCATTGGTTACTGAGGTATGCGGAGCTATTTGTATGTACATCAGTGGGCCTGAGCTGTCCTACTTGTTGATTTGTATTTTTGTATTAATTCTTTGAGATTAGCTCTTTCTTCCTCTTATCTTTCTATTTGTTACTTATGTTCTGTAGACCAGGAGACCATATAAGCAATATTTACAGATTTGCAACTAAAAAAAAGAATAAAGGTCACAGGTTCTATCTTCTATCTAGTTAGTGTACATGGACTCTGATCTTGGTTCTAGACCTTTGAATAATCCATTTCTTTCTGTTTTGAAATCTGATAAATGATTATCTTTATAACCACATGATCTTCAGTAAAGTACTAATTTTCTGCAGGTCTAATCTAGGAAAAATCTCATGTTTTGAGGTAAGGTGAACTTTATTTTATTAGCTATTAATATATTTTTCTATCTAAGTGCTTTCTCTTGGCTCAGTGCCTGTAGCACAGTGGTTACGGTGTTGGTCACATGCCTGAGGCTGGAGGGTTCGAACCCAGCCCAGGCCAGCTAAACAACAATGACAACAACAACAACAAAAAAAAATAGCTGGGCTTTGTGGAGGGCGCCTGTAGTCCCAGCTACTCAGGAGGCTGAGGCAAGAGAATTGCTTAAGCCCAAGAGTTGGAGGTTGCTGTGAGCCGTGGCGCCATGGCACTTTGCCGAGGGTAACAAAGTGAGACTCTGTCTCAAAAAAAAAAAAAAAAAGTTTTCTCTTAACTTTTGGTACTTTCCCTTCTGCTTCTTTTTAGTTGAAAGAACAGATTTTACAGACTGAGCAAAGTTACAGTTCTGCACTAGAAGGAATGAAGATGGAAATTGCCCAGCTAACTCGGGAGTTACATCAGCGAGATATTACTATTGCTTCTGCCAAGGGTTCTTCCTCAGACATGGAAAATCGACTCAAAGCAGAGATGAAAAAGGCAGAAGAAACAGCAGTTGAGCATAAGGTGGTGCAGCCTGAACAAATACTCTTTTTGTTGAAGTTTGTTTTTGAAGATAGAATTTATTAAAGATATTTCCAATAATATTTAACTTAGTAAATTTTTCTAGCCGCTTGGTTTGTGCTGGTTAACAAGTAGTGTAACGTGGACTGGTGGGGCGGTGAGGTGGATATGGACAAGGCAGGTGCCTGTGCCAGTGGTGTGTGATGAGGGGCTCGAGGGCACCCGAAGGATACTGCATCTAGCCTCCGTGCTGCAGAGGCTGCCAAGGGGGCATCAGAGCTCAGGTAGGAGCTGAAGATTGAATAGGAATGAACTAGGTGAGGGGGAGAAAAGGTTTTTACATGAAACAAAAGGACACGCGGAGGCCTCTGAGAGAGAGTGGGACATGCTCATGTGGTGGAAACTAATACGAGTGGGCGAACGGACAGGATGAGACTAGAAGGCAGGGACAAGCTCCTGAGTGGCTCTGTTGGCTGGTGAAGGAGTTTAGTGTGACTTTGAGGTCAGGAGGGATGGCCTTATGTAGGAGTACAGTCAGCTGACTACTCGGATGCTATCCCAGCAGTAAGATAGTGGCCTAAGCTGTGGGCAAAGGAGGGAGAGGGAAATGGATGAACTGTGGATACTTGGCTGGTGAAATTGGCTAGATTTTATGTTTGATTGGGAGGGAAGGTGAGGTAAACATGGTCAAGGAAAGATGTCATGTAGGATTTAAGCATGGGCAACTAATGGAAAATGGTGAAATACAGATAGAGAACAAGTTTGGGGGAAGTTGATGAATTTGTGTGAGTGATACACACAGAGTAGGGAAGCTGGTGGAGGGGACGTTGGGATTTGGTTAGAGTTAAAGGCTGTACTTTTATGTGGAAAAAAATTCTTTTTTGTTTTTTTGAGACAGAGTCTTGTTTTGTTGTCCTTGATAGAGTGCCATGGCATCACAGCTCACTGCAAACTCAGACTCTTGGGCTCAAGTGATTCTCTTGCCTCAGCCTCCCAAGTAGCTGGGACTATAGGCCCCCACCACAACGCTGGGCTATTATTATTATTTTTTTTAATAGAGAGTCTCTGAAAATCCTGAACTCAAGCAGTCCACCTGCCTCCCAGAGTGCTAAGATGACAGGTGTGAGCCACCAGGCCTGGCCCTTTTATGTGGAAATATCTAATAGTCAATACCACAGAAGACCTGGATTTCAAGATTAAAGTCAGGGTTAGTCATTTAGCTGTGGGAGTCTTTGCATGAAGCTGACATTTGAAACCTGAGAGACTTAGGGATTACAATGAGAAAGAATAAAGGATAAAAAACAGTGACTCAAGCTAAATTGAGGACACTTCTTATTTAGGCTAAAAAGATATTGGAATGAAGCTAAAAAAAAGTATCAGTGAGGAAGGAAAACAGTTTTTTCCTAACCACAGAAGGCAAGAATCTTGTCAAGTAGGAATGGTCCAGCAGAAAAGCTAAGGAGAATGAGGACTGAAAATAAGTGAGTATTTTGTGAAAGAAGTGCAGTTGCACC